CCCAGAGGAGCTGGAGGAGGTGTGCGGGGAGAGGGAAGTCTGGGGTGCTCTGCTCGGACTACTGCCCACACGACCCAGCCTCGGATAAGCGGAGGAAGATGAGATGAGATATTATTTGAGTGTAACTCACCAGTTGAGGGCTGGTTCTTTGTAGGAGACTGGTGCTGCTCTTCTTCGTGTTCTCTCGAAATCAGAGTTATGCTCTGTATTTGTTAGACTCTTCATAACCCTGCCTTCTTCTGTTCGCAAAATAAAAATAAATATATAAGATACAAACAAACCTAAGACATATGTGAAATGCAAGAAAGGGAAAAATGAAAATTAATCTGTATTAAAAGTTTACTGATATGTATTGGCAAAGGTTTACCTGGAGCTTGGTGCCTCAAGTCTGAGTCCTGGTCCTGGTCCTGGTAAATGTTCATAGTTTGACTGCGGGTCTCTGGTTGAGGGCTATGGGCAGAGCTTTCATCTGAGAGTGTTTCAGTGTAACCATCAAGGGTCTCCCAGGGAGGCCTCTCCTCTGTGAACTGAAGGTTTTTTGTGTGTCCACTAAAACCATCTGAAGTCACATTATATTTTTCCATGACAAACATGCTTCTGTTAATGACAGATGAAACATTATCCATTTCATTAGTAAAAAGATCATGTTCAGAAATGTCGCTGGAAGCTCCACTGTCAGTTTTTTTCTTAATGGGGGATTTATGTAAAGATGAAACAACATATGTTTTCCTGCACCTGCCCTCAAGAGCTTGGTTGGTTTGATCTAGATTTATGCTAAGAGAGTCCATGTTAGTATGGTTAGTCTGATCAAGCTTGTCAACAGAGGAAGGAGAGCTTATTCCAAAGGTTTCAGCATTACATTCATCCCTGAGGTCCTCCTCTGAGGCTGAGCAGTGAGATATTACTGGTAACTGTAAAGTATTAGACAAAGACCTGTCTCCTGCTCCATTCTGAAGATCAATCATATCTTGCCTTCCAGTCAACACATTTTCATCCATACGCACAGCACAGCTGTTTTGTTTCTTTGTTAATGCTTTGGGTTTTTCTCTTGATGCAGCATTCTTCTTTTTTATTTTATCTTCCTCATCTTTTCTGTGTTTTTTGGCTTTACCAGCCACTGATGACGTAAATTCAGAGGGTTCCTGTACAAGGCTGGCACTCACATCTTGTGAACATTCTGGATGATAGGTGTTTTCTGTCAATATCTTATGAAGAAAATCATTCTCTAGCGCCTTGTGCTGTTGTGCAACATTATCTGAACCAATATTGAGAGGTGTTGGTTGGGTTTGTGATATTAATTCCTGCAAACCTTCCGGTCTGTTGGGATCCTCTAATATATTGGTTTCATCCAAAAATGAATTCCTGTTGATGAATGATTGACTTGCCTGTATCACAAATGTTCCTCTGTTTTTCTGT